TCTCAGAGTTAAATCCAGAATCTGAAAGGGAGAAAGTAGGGATATCACAGGGTTTCTCTAAATTAAGGCCTAAATTTCCATTGGCTGCTTTTATCACAGATATGCATACAATAATAAAAAACACACACACACACACAGAGAGAGAGAGAGAGAGAGAGAGAGAGAGAGAGAGAGAGAGATCTTTACTAGGGCCCTTCAAAAGTACCTAACAATTGAAATCAGTCCAAATGCTTCTCTCAAGCACACACTCAGTGTTCTTGGCACTGTATCAAATTGGGACTCCAGTGTCACCATAGATGACACAATGTTAACCTCTTCCAAAATTGAGGTGAAACAAAGAGGATTTTCCAGTGGTAGACAGACCCTACAGTCTTAGCCAATCAGGTGTACAGATCATGTAGTCTCCGCAAGTTTGATTGGAGTCTTGGGGAAAGTGACTTCATCATTGTGTGCCTTGATTTTTCCATCTATACATCGAGAATAATGATGACTGCTGTTTGCTCACAGTGACTTCCTGAAGGTTTGGCTGGGGTGGTCCCTCTTGGGCTGGAGGTCTTCAGCTGGACCCTAGGAAGTGTGCTGGGACTTGAATCCCTGGGCTCTTTTGAACAGTTCTGTTTGCAGAGCAATAATAGTGTTCTGTCTTTTTTTTCCTCTCTCAGGGTAATCAGGAAGCAGCGGCCGCCCCTGACACAATGGCTCAACCTTATGCCTCAGCCCAGTTTGCTCCACCTCAGAATGGCATCCCCGCAGAATACACGGCCCCTCATCCCCATCCCGCGCCAGAGTACACCGGCCAGACCACCGTCCCCGACCACACATTAAACCTGTATCCTCCTACACAGACGCACTCGGAGCAGAACGCTGACACAAGTGCGCAGACCGTCTCCGGCACCGCCACAGTAAGTGGATGCTGCATCCTAGACCTGGAGGGTGCTGTTCCCAAGCAGGTGCCCCAGTCCTGCTGCTGGTAGTGAACCATGTACACTGTGTGCTAGAGATCTTGTCAAGCAAAGCAGCTCTATTCCTCTCCTTATATTACCAACTTTCCAGTGACTGGGCATCCTTCCTTACTAGTTAGAACATGTTTCCATTTGCCATATTTATTTGTAAATGGACATAGGCATCTATTTTCCTGTCTCTAAAGTGATGAGTTGAACACAATGCTATCCCAGTAGAGTGCATACTTTTAAGCTATTTCATGGAAATATGGGGGTCAGGGGATGTAGCTCAGATATAGAGTGCTTGTTTGGCATGTCCAAATTCTTGGGTTTAGTCTTCAGCACTGTAAAACCAGCAACAACAAAAAACACAACTTGGACACATAACTTAGCCACCACAAATTTATCTGTTTTAGGTGTATGGTTTGCTGGTTTTAAGAACATTTACACAGCTGTGTAACCATTGCCAAATTTTGATGTTAGAACATTTTTTAATCAATCCTAAAACAAAGCTTGGGCCCATTTGCAGGCCAGCCATCTTTATTCTTGGGTGAGTTCATTTGAGTCTCATTTATATTTGTATCTATGTGTCCTTAGTTTGTGATGTGTTGTTTGTGCATTGGATCATATCAAGTAATCAAGAATGGCCTTCAGCTTTCTGTGTGGGGTGGAAATAAGCTTGAACTAAGCCTCTTCCCTGAGCCTAAGTGCTGGGATTGCAGGGATGCCCTATCATGTCCAGTTTCTGCAGTGCTAGGAACAGAACCCAGGGCTTGGTGCATGCTAGGCCAGCACTCTCCTAGCCAAGCTATACCATCTAGCTGTAGTCTGTGGGAGTTTGTTGCTAGTACATAAAGAAGGGATAGATATGAGGGATTATTAGTTGGGCAGGAAAAGTGTTAATCCTTAAGAAATATAAACAGAAAGATGGACTTGATGGATAAGAATTAAGCAAGCAATCAGAAGGCAGAGACAAAATTTTATAGCCACCCTATGTGAAATCTAGTAGTGGGATGGTAATCAAACATGACTGTGGGCACCAATATTTACATTAAAATTAGATGCTCATCTATGAACCACCTATAATAATTAAGGATCTGTAAACCTGTATAGTCCATGTTGTGGAAAACTTCCTCTGCAAAATTCATTAGAGATGCAAATAAGCTCTAGCATGTAGCATTTTACTGGTGTAAGGCAATGCTGCCTCTTCCTTCCACCCTCAAGGGCCTGGAAACCCAGAATCCTGACACTGAACATACCTGTGTTGGGCACATGTGTAAGTAGCTCCCATCTTTGTACTGCTGAATACCTATTTCATTGCATGGACATACCACAGCTTGTTTTTCCATTGTGCATAGATATGTGGGTTGTTCTCTCTCCATGGTAACTCACGGAAAATTAAAACTAATGTGAACACAAGTAAGCATGTCAAGTGCAAAACAGAAGAGAAGCAAGAATAGGTGTGTTAAAGTATAAAGAAACAGAGACAAACACTTTCTTGAGACTTTCATTTTCTAAATATGTATGACCTTCATTTTCTCCCTGTAACAACTGAGAGTGAGGGGTGGTATTTGGAAATGAGGGAGAGTGATTTGGGATTTGGGCAAAGATGCCAGGAAAATGCTCTGAAAAATATCCTAGAATATTTGAAAGCATGGAAATCCTGAGTTTAGAAAGCATGCTTTTGTGGTGGGGCTGGCCATTGCTTTGTCTTCCCTGGTCCTATTTAAATGATGCACACTATAGGAGAGGAAGTAATAGAAGATAGATACCATCTTTTCTGCTTCAAACAGTTATATGCAGATTCTTTCCTCTCTTTGGCCAAAAAGGAAGGTACTTATATGTGTCTGGGTATATACCCATGAAGAGGTCAAAGGAACTCCTTGAATGTCCTCTATGGCTCTCCACCCTAGTCTCTTGAGACAAGGTCTATCACTGGACCTGGAACTCACTGTCTTTTCAGGTAGGTTGACAGGCCATCAAGTGCCAGCAGTGTTCTTATCTCCAGCCCCCACTGCCCCAGTGTCAGAGGCACACTGTGGTCACACCTGGCTTTTATACATTCAGACTGGGAACAGAACTCAGGTTCCCAGGCTTATACACACATGCTCCTGCCTGCCAGTCCTTCTCTCTGTCTTCATCACTTACTTTTGAATCATTTTTCTAATCTGAACTTGTCTATGACAAGCTTACTTCAAATTGTCTCCGTCTCCCTAAATCTTGATGGAGTTGTTTTCTCTTTCTCTCCTCTCAAGTTCTGCATTTCATGTGGAAGAAATTACACTCCAAAATGGGTCAAAAGGATGCTTCTCTCAGTGCTGCACACACAGTCTTATATTAAAAAGTTATTGTTGAGCAGACACTGTAGCTCAGCCTCTACAGCTTGTGGTTAACATGAGCTACAGGGGAAAAGAGAAAGGGTTAATGTTGGGAGAATAACTAGGCTATTCCTCATAGAAGAGTGTTACTCCTGGAACAGCCATACTTTGACATATATAACCATGGTGTTTAATGTCATTTTAAGGACATTGTGGAGGCCATGCTTTCTTGGAGAAACCAAATGGTTTAGGGTAAAAGAAAATATCCATCCATATGGTGGCCTCCAAGAACATCTAATATATGCACATGACTTAACAAAAATTGCAGGATCTTGAAAGGGAGACAGTGTGCAACCTTGAGCTCCCAACCAGAGCTAAGTAAGGCATGTATAGAAAAGTCTTAGCAGGTCATCTCCTCCAGTCCCCAGGGCCTGAGACAATTCCCTGCAGGACATTTACTGCTGAGTTTCTATTTTGTACAGGATTCCAAACATATCCCAGATCACAGTGCTGACAGAGCCATTGCTGTATTCTCCCGGATACTGTTTCTCATGAGGTATTTTACTCTTGACATATTATAATTAGAGATTTGTGAGTGGAGAATTCTCCATGTATCTCCAATAGCAACTTGATTTCTATTTTTAACACTTGTTCTGCAGTCTGCCTGTCTCCTCCACTTGCCCCCTCCTTCTGAACTCTGATGGGATGAAGAACTTGGGTCCCTGAGCTGAGTTTTCAGCCTGCATTTGCTGACAGGAAGAGGAACCATGTACAGAGACTCTTGTTTTTAGTGGCAGTGCTAGTGATGCCACCAGATCCTACTAATGCCTTCAGGCAGATGAGAAGTGAGGTGATGAGGCCTTACTCCCAACCATTTGGGCTCTAGATCCAGGGATGGCATATGCAAACAAACAAAAAAGAAATCCGGTTTAAGAAATACCTTATTTTGTTCATTAGCTATTTGTTGTTCAAGCAATTAAAACTTAACGTTTAAAAAGTCAAGCATAGATTACATTTTTTTCTTTATGCTGAGGAAAATTTCTGACCTGTCTATGTATCACATTTTCTTTTTCCATCAATCTGTTGATAGACTTCTAGGCTGGTTCTACTTTCTGGCTTCTGTGACTGATATAGCAACAAGCATAGATTTTCATGTTTCTCTGTAGTGTGATGACAGAGAGCTTTAGGTATATGCCCAAGAGTGGTGTGGTTCTAGTTTTAGTTGTTTTGAGAAAACATTGTACTGGTTTCTGTATAAGCCACACAAGATTACAGTCCCACCAATAGTGAGTAAGGGCTCTCTCCTTCTTCTTGGAAAATAGGTGGGATTAGAAATCACTGTTTAGCACAATAAGCCAAACTAGAAAGATAATTACTATGTTTTCCTTCAAGGTCAGTACCTAGATTTGTAATTGTGGATATGTATATGTATGTGTTTATGAAATAAGAAAGGAAATGATAAGAAGGGAGAAAATCTTAAGGGGGAAAATAATGGAATGTATTTAGCATACAATCAGAAAATGGGAAATATTTGCAGAAAGGAAAGGGACCAACAAGAGGCAGGACAGGAGACATGGAGGAGGGCAGTGATATTGGGGGGCATATTAGGACAAAGCATAATGACATATACATATGAAAATGCAACAGTGAAATTCGTTATTTTGTATATTAACTTTAAAATTTAATTTAAAACTATTATTAAGGATCAAATCATCTAGGGTTAGAGAGATGGCCAGGTGGGTAAAGCACTTACTTTGCAAACATAAGAACCTAAGTTCAAATCCCTGAACCCTTGTAAAAACCAGGAGTGGTACAATGAATGTGTAATCTGGCACTGGGGAAAGGAGATTCCCCTACCTGTCAGTCTACCTAACACAGATTTCCAGACTCAGCGAGCATTCCTGCCTCAGCAAGAAATGTAGGAAGTAACTAAGGAAGACATTAGATTTGGCCTCTCATCTTAACAATGTATTGGATGCTTGCATACACACATACATACACACACACACACACACACACACATGCACACGCACACAACCATGTGTGTATAATGTATATAAAGTCCATTACTTTAAGATGTACAGAAAAAAACCTAAGTCTGTTACTCCCACACCCCTAGTTAATAGGGACCGCTGCCAGAGACAGGTGCTACTAAAATCTCCCTTCCAGAAGTGTTTTATGCAGAAGCAAAGACAAGCTGCCATCACAGCCTCTCTTGTTCTCAGCTGTAGCTCTATTCATATAGTCTGTTTATAAATCCAGTCTGTAAATTCTCTAACATCTCATCACTTAAATTCTCAAAACAGTAGAGCAGAGATCCACTGAGCACCCACTTCAACAGTACTGAAGTGGGAAGGTCTGTACCATGCTTTGGAATTCAGGTCATTATTTTTAACTCTGTGAAAATTCTTACAGACAAAGGTATCCCTGTGGGGGAGATGCAGACAACTTAAGTGATTGATCTGGTCTGTTGTCTTTCTCAATCAGGCCACAGGGAAGAGTGAAATAGAAATATCATGGTCTACCTCTTATCATCTATTATTATCCCTTAGTATATATCTTTGAACAGTACATGGGTTTAAAATGTACATATTGATCATTTCACTAGCAGAAATCATTTGTTAATTTGAACCTGAAGAAATT